CTCCCAGTTGGAAAGGTAACCTACAGGGCACCTGACCTACTCGGCGGCCGCACAAACAGACAGATCCGCATTGTGTCCAGCTGCTTCCTTCATCTTGGGATGAACGGGGTGCAGAGTGGGGCCAGGGTAGGGCAGAGGGGGTCCGCGAGGGCATGACAGGGTGGAGGGGCTGAGGGAAGCCGCCTTTCTCACCTTGCTCACGACGTTCTGGACGAGGCCGGCTCTAATGCGGTAGTGCCACTCGTGGCAGTCGCACTCGCTGGCGTTGCCCCCCGCCGGGGTGGGCAGTCCGGGCGGCGGGAAGATGCTGCCGTTATCGCTGCGGTTGGCGTGGCTCGGCGCCAAGGACACGCTCCAGTTGCCCTGCCCGTCCGCCTCCCGGCACCAGAAGTCAGGTTGGTCCAGGAGGAAGGAGTCCGAGAACTTGCTGAAGCCGATGAAGAGTGCTGGGACCCAGGTGAGCAGCACCAGGGCCCGTTGGTACCTGCCGCCTAGCCCCCCGAGGAAGGGCAGCACAGAGCCATCGTAGTCGAGGAGCAGCGGGCTGCAGGCGGCGGCGGGCGGCGATGGCACCGGCACCGCCTGGATCTCGGCCCCGGCGGAGCCCGCGGCGGGCGGCCCCGGGGGAACGGCGGCGCCCCCTCCTCCGGCTCCCGGCACCGAGCCGTTCTCCTCCGGCAGCGGCCGGCCCCCGCCGCCCGCCTCGCGGCGCCGGTCTATCGCCATCCAGCTGTCCGGGGGGGCTCACATAGGGGGGAGCTGGGGCAGCCCCGGCTCCCTCGCGAGTCCTTCCTTCCTTTCTTCCCTCCCTCTCCTCCACGCACACACACACACCTTACAACGTAATATATTGCACACACGCTCCTAGCCGGACCCGGCAGGAGACGGATGAAGGGAGGGGGGGAAGGGAAGGAAAAGAGGGGAGGAAGCAGAGGGGCGAAGAAAGGGGGAAGAACCGAGCCCCTCGCTCGCTCCCTTCCTCACCCGCACCCTGCGGCCACGAACCGCTGCAGCTGCCAGCGGTGCCCCCCCTCCCCTTGCCTGTGCGTCAAGCTGCACTCATCCCAGCTCTCCCTTCCCCCCTCCGAGTGGCACCACCGAAAATAAAAGGAAGGATCCAGCCGGATCCGAGCATGCAACGGGCCAAAGGAGAGGGGGAGAGTAGAAGTGGAGGGAGAAAAGGAAAAAAGAAAAGCCACCACCACCACCACCCTGCTAACCAAAGCCTGCAACAACAAACCAAGCAAAACCGGTGCAGCAAGGCTCTACGAACACGCCTCCTCTCCCGGTTTTGGTGGTGAGGAGGAGGAGGAGGGAGCAGAGGGAAGGCAAAGGAAGGAGGAGAGGAAAATAACAGCTCCCGACGCGGCTTCACCGTTTCCCGCACAGCTAAGGGTCCCCCTCCGGCCGCGGCAGCAGTGGCGGCGGCAGCCCCCAGCACCCCCCCGCCGGCCCCTCGCAGCCCCGCGTCCCGCACATCTGTCTCCGCAGCAAGGGGCCCCGCCGGCCTCTCCGCGGCCCGGGCTGCGGGGACCGACACCGCCGTGCACCTCCCGCGGCAGCCCGCTCACTCGCCGATCCGACCCGCGCCGTGCCGCCGGCGGCACCTCTAGAAGCGGACAGCCGGCCCGACCCCTCTCCCTCCGCCTCCCCGTAGCCCCCACCTGCCGGCCCGGTTCGGCCCCGCAGCCACCGCCCCCCGCTCCGCCCCTCGGTGCCGGGCGGCCGCACCTGCTCCCGCCGCACCGCGCAGCCGGCCCGGCCCGGCCCCCTCCAGGGACCCGCCGCGGCCGGGGGCGGGACGGCGCCGCGGGGCGGGGAGGGAAGAGAAGGGAGGGAGGTGCGGGGCCGGACTCCGCGCCGCCTCGTGGCCGCGCTCGGCCGGCGGGCCGGGGCAGGTACTGGAGCGGGTAGGGGTCTGGACGGGGTGAGGGCCGGGGATGGAGGGAGATGCACTGGATCTGCAGCGCGCTCTTATTTCCATATCAATTATTTAGCGGTATGGCTTTAATAATGCAGAGCAGCTACGGCTGGCGGAGCTGGAGGCACCGCGGCGGGAGCAGCCAGTGGGGACTGACGGGAGGAGGCCGGAGAGGGGACAGACCTGCGGGGAAGAACCCGCAGTTGAAGGGAGCGTTTGTGAGATCTGGAGCAATGCGAGATGTGCCTGTGTTGCTTCAGTTAGCCTGTGAAATTAGTACCCAGTTAAAAAATCATATCAACACCTTGCTTTAATTGTGAAACAGACATTTCAAATTTGTGAAGGTTATTTTTACATTAAGCTAAATTTACTTCAGTGTGTAAATGTCTCCAACTATTTTCTTCATGAAGTATAGCCCATGCATTACTGAACCGAGCAGTTATGTTTTTCCTTTGTGAGAAGGGAATGAGAGACAACAGATCGATATATGCTTCTGCACATCAACATGGCTAGTGAGCAGAAGATACTTGCATGCATTAGAAGAGGACTGGCATCATTACTGAGTATAAATGGAAGAGCAAGTTGCTGGTGGATTTTCATTTACTTGAGCCAGTCTCTGTGAGACAGTACTGTACATCTTCTTCCCTTTAGCTCCTTTTCTTACACAGGACACCAAAAAGGTTTCCAATCTACTGCTCGGTCTGGATCCCTTCTGTAGGGCTTTCCTCAGCACTGCTCAGGGGGATGCCCAGCACCAGAGCAGCCCAACAGCCTCCCCAGAGGTTTATGGAATCAACCAGGCTGGAAAAAAACTTTAAGATCATCAAGTCCAACTGTTACCCCAGGACTGCCAAGACTACCACTAAACATAGGGCCTCATCTAAATGGTTTTTGAACGCTTCCAGGGACACTGACTCCACCACTTCCCTAGGCAGCCTGTTCCAATGCCTGATCACCCTTTTTGGTGAAGAAATTTTCCCTGATACCCAGTCTAATCACCCCTGTTACAGCTTGAGGCTGTTACCTCTTGTTCTATCACTGGTTATTAAGGGAAAGCAACCAGTCACTTCCTCACTTGATCTGCCTTTCAGATAGCTATAGAGAGTGATAAGGTGTCCCCCCCCCGGAGCCTTCTCGTCTCCAGACTAAACAACCCCAGTTCCCTCAACTGTTCCTCATAAGACTTGTGCTCTAGGCCCTTTACCAGCTCCATTGCCCTCCCATCTGATCTAAATACTCCTGGGTGAAAGGAGAACCTGGTGCTCCCTGCCTAGGAAAGTCTTCTCCTTCTCTTCCTGTGTTGCAGCACCCTTTTACATCTGATGACTGTTATCATGTCCCTGTGCCATGTTTTCAATGTGACAAGTAGCTGTAATTTGTCCTCTTCTGCTGTCTTCTTGGCTAGGGATTGCCTTAGCTCTCTGGTTTCCCATCAGCTGCTGCCTGCTGTGCCCCAGCCTTTGTGTGTACAGGGAGTTAACCCTGCCTGCCAGAACAGCTCCTTTCTTCTCAGTCACATTCTTTGTTTTCCAAACAATTTTTTAGGAATATTTTGAATTCTAATTTCATCTTTCAGTGTACTTGCAGTTGCCCCCCAGTTAATGCCATCTCTGAAGGCTGCTAATGAAACATCCAGGACAGACCCTTTTGGAATTGAATCTATAATCCCATTTGCCAATAAACCACTGACAACTGTGCTTTCCACAGTTTTGTATCCAATGCCCACATTTTTCACATAAATTGAGCTCACTCATTAATGACCGAATGTGCAGAGCCTACTCAAGGCACAGATGACTGCGGCCCTTGCTCCTTTTTCCCATAAAAAGCCCATTCTTCTATTGCCAAAGGAAATTTGCCCAAGCTTATCCCAACTTCATGCTGACAAGTCCATGTCAATAGTTGCTTATCTCATTGTTTCCTTCTATCTGTTTACAAATAATGTGTCTATTTCAGGCTAGAAAAGCCAAGCCTATTTCTAGGTGTTTTTAGGGGGAAAAAATGGATGCCTGGACGGTTTCTTTCTTCTTTTTAAATGCCCTTTTTAAAGATAGGGACCAGTTTTGTCTTTTTCTATCTGCAGGGTCCTTGGCCTCCTTCCCTGACATTTCCAACACTGTCTGAACCACTTCCTTCTGTATGTCGGCATGAAGTCCAGCCAGCCAGTTGGCTTGAACACCTCTAAGTTATTCAAGTACCCCTGCAACTGGTTCTGTCCCAGTCCAGGCTGAAACCTTATTCCCTTGTCATTCACATATGTTATGTCAATCACCTGATTATAAGTGATCTCTTTCATCCAAGCCAGATGCAAAAAAGGCCTGAGCCACTCCTGAGACTTCTCAGCATCAGTCAATGGCTTTCTCTCGCTGATGAGTAATCCACTTGCTTTTGACTTCCTCTTACCACTGACGTACTTGCTGAATGACTTCTTGTTACTTGAGATGCTCTTGCTAGTTAAGTCTTATCTGTCGTACTGGCTTTTTTGTGTTTGTCCCCATCTGCTCTTGCTAGGTGATACTTCTGTACTCACCCCATGGAAACCTGATCCACCTTCTCTGTGCTTCCTTTTGTGAGCTTGTGATTTAGCCTGATCAGTTGCTTCCTAGCTTTCCTCAACTTCCTCGTTGAAGGGGTTGTCTGGGAAAGGTCTTCTAGAAACTCCCAGCTACCACTTGCTGTCTTTCCCACAAAAAGGAAAAGGCTGTGGCATGGGCTGGGATTGGCAGGGAGAAATGGAGAGGAGAAAAGGACTTTGGGAACAGAGGTCTCAAGTTGAAGTTCTGAAGAAAGGTAAATTTGACTGAAGAAAGCAAAGAATTGAAAACCTGGAAGAGATGGGAGGGAAAAGAAGAACCCTTAGAGAGGGAAGTATTCATACTGTGAATGAGTAGACCTGTAGAAACAAAGTCATACAGTACAACAAAAAGCCCATAACAAGAGGTGACAACCCTTACTCAAGCTGATCAAACATTTTCATCCAAAAAGCCTTTTGTGGGCTGCTCTGACACCCTGAGATTTAGATGGAACTGAAAAATTTTAAAGGTAGCATATTCCTGAGTGTTACATATTTTTACATAGTAAAAGTTCTCCCATCCTTGAAATGGTGATCCTCGAGAGACTCTTTCTGAGTACAAGCAAGTTGAGGATAAAAACATAAATACATTTGTAGTAGTTAAGAAATAAATTTTTGATGAAATAAGTACTACTGAGGCAAAACTTCACAGAAAAATACCTCCCATAATAACAGAAATGTCTTTACATATTCTTGTGAAAATTGGTTTTGTTTTGAATGAGGAAATGAGATAGACTCGAAAGTGGTATTCCATCTGCATGGTGGCTCCTACACATGGGTAAATGATGAAGCTAAGATTACAGAGCTTCTCTCTAGTTAAGAGAGCTTCTCTCTCCTGTGCAAGGGACGCTAACAGTCCCTTTGACCTCAGAGAGGAGACATAGGATCTTTGCAATGCTTCTTCACTAGGAAAAAAAAGATAGCATTTAAAAGGGAAGTTGCCTTTAAGAAGAGAACGAATCAATGTCCTTTGGTGTATTTTTTACACATTTACAGAGTTACATTAAGAAAATTGCGTACCATTATAACCTGGATCCTCAATAGTTTGGGGAAGAGGAGCAGAAAAGACGGCTTTGGTTTCCTCTGAAAGGAGCAGTTTGACCCCTGCTGGAACAGGGAGCGGGCAGCCTCGGAGCTGGGGACATGACAGCAGTGGAAACTGGTGAACTTCGCCCAGTTGCAGAGCAAGCCTTCCATTGCAGAATGGGTATCCCGTCTGTCAGCACCCCGCCACAGCTCAGAGGATTTGAAGCCAGGACCCAGAGAAATGTTTACAAAGAGAAGGAGGGGTGGGGGTGGAAATAAAAATCAAGCTTCCTTAGCTTTAGTGTTAACATTTCCAGATTCTCGGAAGGCCAACCACAGTACTTCGAAGAGCTCCTAGTTAAATTCCTGGTTTATGTGGAATTTATGCAACCACCTCATTCCACGTAACAACAGCACTAGCTGTATTTTATTGTTTCATGGGATATATGCTTACCTTTTTTGTCTAAAGCTATCCTGTTCTGTAGAGGTGAAATTATGACAGTGCAATAAACCAAAGCTACTTGGTACACAGATTGATAAATAAAATCACCTCTTGGAATGCAGACTATTCATATTCTGGAGAAAAGCACAATGTCTTCATAAGGCCACATGGTATTCCAAGTTGGAAAGGATCAAGAGGTCTCTAGTCCCACCACCTCCTTTCATACCAAGATCAGCTATGAGGTCAGATCAGGATGTGCAGGGCTTTATCCAGATATTGCAGGGGATTTTCAGCTCAGGAGGGCCAGGTGAGTACTGTGAGAGCTAGATGTGAGGCAAGGTAAATAGAAAGAAAGAGGAATAAGCTGAAAATGTTAAAAAGGACTAAGCCACTTAGGGAACAGGTGGAAAAGCCTGTACTTATTTCATTGTGTTCTCCTCTGATCCTGACTGAACCAAAGACATCTGACTTTCCCCATTCTTCTGATGTCAGCAAGTGTTAGTGAAACTCACTGGCAAAATGTTCTGTCCCTCCCTGATGCTGATTCAAATAGAAGATGACAACCTATTACTTGTGTCATTTACTCTGCTGGCAGAGGTCTGTACACCATATGGGGAGGGATGCAACAGGGGAAGGGTTCACATCCCTTGTCTGCTGGGGATGAATGTGATGGGGAATGTGAGTGGGTTCATTTATTGTCTCAAAACCAGAGAAAATTAGTTATACACTAATTATTGGAAAAGATGATAGATGTTGCAAAGTCAAGCAATCCAACACTGGTAAATGCTGTAAATCAGATTGCTTGGGCAATGTTAATTTGTGCCCCAAATCTTGTGCACCTGTGTTCTGATGCAACTTTTAATTAACAGTGCACTTTGATGCAACCTATAATTACACTATTATGTACAATTTTTCTTGCAATCCCCTGACTTATTCAGTAAAAAAAAAAAAAAAAAGTAAAAAAAAAAAATAAATAAAGATGACCACTTAAGCCCTGATTCTCAGCAGGATTTAGGCACTTAAAATACCTTTGAGAATCTGGGTCTTAATGAGGATCAATTCAATATTTTGTTTTCTTCTTGTTCAGTATGGAGCCCCATGACTTATTTAATGCACTATCTATCTTCAAACCCTGCTCTCAAGAACGAATGATTAATGTCCTCATGGGATTTCTTATAATTCTCCCTTATGAAGTATCCAAGTGTTTTGCAGATATTAATGCATTTATTTTCACAGTGTCTCCATAAGGGGAAGGTTACTTTCTTTTCATATTGGGAAACTCAAAGGCGATGGGTTAAGGTGAAAACCATGAAGTTTTGAGTATTTGCAGCTCCTAGCAGTTTAGCATTCTTGAGTGTGGTGCAGCATTTCGTATTTTCAAAGCACAGCTCCTATTCGCAACTGTGAATGTGCAGTGCTTTTATAAATCAGACTCCAGAGTCTCAAGGCAGTCACTCACAGAATGAGACCAATGCAACTAGAATAACATCATACGGTGTTTTGAGGAAGAGACATCACTCTTCATCACACACACAGAAGCCTGACATCACTCTTGGGCAAAATGATGGAATAGCTGATGAAGCAATGAATTAGTAAAGAATTAAAACTAGGTAAGATAATTAAATCCAGTTAACCTGGATTTAAGAAAAATAAACTTTGTCACACCGCCATTTTTTTATTGTTTTCTTTTGTAATGAGATGATTATGAATTTGGTCAATGGAGACAATGAGCTGGTGTAGACTGTTAGTGACTGTACAGTAAGAAAGATAAACCCAAGGTAGTTCTACCCTAACTTGGTCCAGGTTGTGAACAGATGTTATATTCTGGACACAGCAGTGCCACCAGAAGAATTTACATCCACCAGCTGCTTGTGACCATTTCCTAGCTAGAAATTAGTTCCCCTTCCAATCTGCCTGCAGAGCAGCTCCTCCATGCACCCCATACTTTACAGTCGGGTAAATGAGTGAAGTTCACTCAGACCAGCAACTCAAATTGCATAACCTTGTCCTGATCATTTTTCTTGAGGGGGGTTCAGGAGCTTTTCCAGATACTTCTATACCTGCCAGCAGCCAGACCATTGACTTTCTAAGTAATGAATTTAATTCTCTGAAGAAACAGTGACACCCCTTACACTCTTCTTCCAGTCTCCCACCTCATTTGTGAGTCATCCACCTCTACAATTAACAAAACAGTCTTGTATAGGGAACAGCCTTCTTTGCAGTAAGGTGACCCACATGTGAAGCAGGTCTATCCTGTTCACTGAATAAAGCAAGCACTCAGTGGAAAAAAACAGTAGGTAGTCATGTAATTAAAGGCTTTTCTTACTGTACATACATAAATATTATACACCTTATATATATGTATGCATGTATAACACATAGGCAGTATGTGAACACACAGAGAGGCCAAATTAGATTTACACAAGCTACTTTACCTTGTGTAATTTCTGTCTTTCAAGTGCTTAATTTTGCATTCTTCGTGGTGTTTTAATGTAGGCCTTTTTCTCTGCATGTATACATTAAAACAATGCAAAACCCCTAATGAGTGCTTACATAAGACAAGTTCTACAGTGTGCATAATTTTTAGACAGAGATTGTTTGAATACCTTAATGGAATGTAGTGTAATCAAGTAGGAATAATCAAGTAGGAATTAAGTCAGTCCAGTGGCTTTTTTATTCTAAAGAGATCTTCAAATACTAGAATTAAATAAATTAAATTAAATGAACAATTAAATTAAATTAAACAGGCTTTGAGCTGGATTTCTGCTTCAAAAGACCAAAGGCTCTAACAGCATTCATTTTAAATTCCCTTGGTCATAAGATGGTAGCCAAACATCTGATGTTGAAAACTCACTTAGTGCAAATATATGTATATTTTCTGCATCCTCCTCTAAGGCTGCTGACAGATTCTTAACAGAAATAGTGTGACTGGAATAGCAATACTTAGTTCAGGAGCAAGATGGGTGGATTTTCACCTATAATGGGAGTCACAACCTGCTCCATGCAGATGCTTACTGTCACTTTTACTGTATAACCGGGTTTCTAAAGATAAAGCAAAAACCAGAAAGCACCTAAGATATTCCTTAAGAATTATCAGAAGAAAGGAATCAGGACCCCCTGAAGGAACTCAGTGACTCAGGGAGAGTCCTCAGACAGATAACTTACACCTTACATACAGACTAACTGTGGAAGCACGTGTATATACTATAGAAAATATCCAAATAAATGTAAGGATGGCAACTCAAAGCCTAATTGCCTCAAATGTATGAATCACCAAATTCCAATCTTGCAGGACCTGACTGGAATATTTAATAAAAATTGAATCCATACTCAAGAACCTTATTTTCACATGTAATATTTTCCCTTGATAATTTTTTTCCTTTACACCTGGATAAGAGACATGCTCGGTGAGGAGTGTTTCTTTGCATGCCTGCTCCTATATTGTGTGTGCAAACTCAGGCTCACCTAGTGTACAGACAGTTTTGTCATGAGTCTGTGCTTACATGGGCTGGGAGCAAGCTTCAAGGTACAACAGTGAGTCTTGAGAACACCATCCCAAACTGGATGTTACCTGTGGAGAGGCTAAGAAGGGGCAAAGTCTTTATTAAGCTATGCTTGTGTAGGCATGTAATGCTGACATAACTACATTCATCTATTTACATGTTACTTGGCATTCACTGCTGCTTGCACCCTGCTAGTCATGCTCACAGTTGGCCTAGACGATCATTTTAGGTCTCTTCCAACTAAACTATTCTGTTCTTTATCACAGATGGGAATTACTGGGATAACGTGCACAGGCCTTGCTCACTTAATCTGCACAAGCGTGGCCCTAGGTACTCTCTCACTACCTGTCAACAGCAGGCACCTGCACCAGTGGCTCACAGCTCAGCTCATGGTTCTCCTAAAGAAATCCTTTCAAAAATTTCAAGAAGAGCCTATTCTCTACTCTCTGCTTACAAAACAAGTGTGGCTGTGCGCATATGGTTTAGGAGGGAAATAAGAGCATTAATTAGTTCAAGTTGGAGAAAGAGCATGTTGATTTTGCTCAAGAAAATTGTTATCAAACAAAATAATGGCCTCAATAACAAAAGGGAAAGAAAGAGGTTGGGGAAAAATCATAACACAATATTTAATATTTTTGTTGTACTTTCTATTGAAGATTTGAGAGGTAAGGGCCTTGTATTGCTAGAGTTAAACAGTTTGTAGCTACCTGGAACCCAGGCCAGCTTGTGCAAATAGAGCTCTGCAGTGCGGTCAGCCCAGCAGACTTTGTCTTTCCAAGCATAACCGCTGATTTATACTTTACCCCACAAAGGTCAAAACTCCCTTTACAGCATGTTAGTAATGTTGTCTCAAGCTGTTAGACTTTGCCTTAGAAATACCAAGTACTTCTTTCATAATGGCTTTTTTTAATCTGATTTTATGCAGCCTAAAATCAAGGAGTCCGTGGACTTTTGAAATTAAGAAAAAAAAAATAGAGGAAAAGGAAGGGAGATGGCTCCCTTCATTCATCCAATGGGCTCTGTTTTACACCACTAGACCTCCAGGACCTGCTGCATCTGAAGTAAAGAGTGAAATTCCAGTTAGTTTTGCTCTGGACTGGTAGAGTTTGGCTGGCACATGCCTCTTGCCAGGACATTTGCTCAATACACACCCAGTATATTCGAGGAAAGGTGAGAGACATCAGCTGTACCAAGTACACTGCACCAAATGACCCACTGCAGACTTGCCCAGCCTTTTTTTCTCCTCTGCTGCCCAGTGAGGAAGCTGCATCTGAGGAATCTGAAAATACAAAACACAGTCAGAAAACTCAAGTTCCTCTGCAGCTGGAGACATCTGCTAGAAGCGAAAAGCTGCCAGCAGCAGCCAGGGGATGAGAGGTTACATCAGGATCGAGAAGAAATGCTACGAAGGAAGGAGTCAACTGTCAATAAACACCTGGCTTGGGTGATTTGGCTTTAAGAAAAAGAAAAAAGCAACAGCAAATTGCAAACAGTATTGTGAAGAAACAAACCTGCTATAGAATGACAGGGGAAAGGGAAATTAGACTTTCATCCATACAAGGCTTCTGTTTGTACTGATAGAAGAACAGAGGGTCACTGATGAGCAGCTTATGTTGTGGCTTTTCTCTGTTCACCCATACCCACTCGTCTGGTCCACTGATGGACAGCCAGCAGAACAAGCAATGCCAATGGCCTCGGTCAGCAAGGAAGAGGCTGTTTTTTCCTTGCAAACCTGTGTTTCTTCTTTTCAGGCAAACATTCATACCAGAGGTTCGGCCATCTTCCACAGGAATTCATCAACTGGGCAATGAATTGAAAGCAACTGCCATTTAAAAAGAAGTCTGGACTGGTGACTGCACATGTAAATTGTTCACACTTGTGACTGTGTCGTGGCAGAACATCAAAGGCTTCCACCAGTTTCGTGGCTGTTTGGAACGAGATAGGCGGCAAGCCAAAACCTACCTTGGCAAAAGCCTTCCATGTTGTGCAGCTTGGCAGTCCTGCCAAATACCTGAGGCAGAACATTTCTTATCTCCAGCTCATTTCCATAGGGATCAAGTGTTCCTGGCCATTTGGATTTTGATAAAAGTCTCTGTGTGATTATTAGCTTCAATACTATTCCTGGGCTCTAGGCAGGAGGGAGATTGTTGGGCTAGTTTCACAGTGACGTTGACCTATTCATGATGTCCTTATTCAGTGTCAAACAGTTATTCTGACCAGGCATTTCACTGGCTCCTGCTTATTTTCATAAGCTTACCTGGAGCAGGAGATTCAGCTTCTTGTCTGAAACACACTTTTGTGATTAAGAACCCAGTGGTAAAAGATGAAGACATATTTGTATAATTATGCAGCAATTCTCTGTTAACCTCTCTCAATTATTTTTAAAAGCATGTTGCTATGGGAAGATGCTCTTGGAATCAGTTATTTTAAAGCTTTCTTCTTAGATACTTAAACCCATCCTTTCCATTATTGTCAGATTTGAGGACAAACCTTTATCCAGTTACTCAGCGGAGATGCAAAGTATGTTCTTCACTTGGCTGGAAACTGAGTGTCCTACCCACTGCTCCAAGACATCAGAGCAAGTTGGTGCAGTGCTTAACGAGCATTAGCCTACATTGAAAAAGGAAGAAGGTTATAGATGGTAAGATTTAAAGTTCAGGACAAAGTATCTTTTCCTCATTTTATTAGAAGTGGACAAAGTAGGAAGAGTACAAAGCTAATAATTACTTCTTTTAGAAACACAAATAGAGGAACAGTGTCCAAGTCGGGTGAAGTTCAGAGGCTGCTGTTTTCTTTAAGTGAGTTTACTCAAACCTCCTGTGAGCTTTAGATCACATTTGACTTTTTCTTTTCATTGCATGAGGCACAGACTCCTGAGCTGTGACTGATACTAGGCATTCACATTCCTCCCGCTTTTGGGGTTGGCTGCTACTATCATGGAAAACATTAGTGTCAGCTTCACCCTTTTGCAGAACAGTCAGCATTTGGTTTGGCTGAACAAAAAAATATTTTGGAATGGACCTCAGTGACCTTCTGCAAATTGATAGCCAGCTTGCAACAGGCGAAGCTGAGTCACCAGTTGTGCGGGGTTGAAATCCAACCCAGACATCTGTAGCGAGCATATCTTGCATTGCCAGTGTAACTCCTGTTGTGATGTTCTCAAGTTTTAAAACGGTTTTGAAGAGCCTCTGGTCAGATTCTGTTTGGATACTGTACGTTACGCATAACCTCTGGGAGGAGGTGAATTTAGACTTCTACTCTGTAAACTTTAGGTGTTTGGGTTCTCTTCTTTTATACGCATTTTCCCAGGAAATTTCCAGTTCCTCAGAGCGAAGGAAAGTCTGAGTTTCTCCAAATTCACACTCCTCTGGTGGATTCAATCCATCAGACCACTGAGGCAAACAAGCAAATCACTCCTTTTATGAACACATCTATTCCTTGCAGGTTTTTGATGAAGTCCACAGTGCTTGCAACTTCCTTTTTAAATCCAGTCTAATATCACAGGGAAATTTAAGCTCCTCTGCAATGGGATATGATTGTGTCACCTATTTGACTGTGCATTTTATGGTCTTTACTGAACTTCTGAGTCTCCTTCAACCTCCCACATCAAGTACAGTGAAACCAAAGTTTTCAGAAGGTGAAGTGCTTTGTCGTTGGCAGGCTGTTTTAGTGGGCAGAGGGGAGCAAGCCCCTATTTAACACTTTACATCTCGTGTCCCAAAGTGTAACCTCTCCTTTAAACATTAAATTCAGTTTTGTTTTCAGATTTTATCAATATTTTTAAGAGTATCCTCTGGGTAAATACTTTCTGTAAGAGATTCCTTGTGTGCCAAGCTCCCAGCTTACAGCCTTCTCTGACAGCCTGACTGCAAGTGTTGGCCACAGGTTGCCATTTCAGAAGCTGCATCATAATATTATTCTCAATAATTGGTAAGCTTTAGCTTTAGCAGGAATAATTCAAATCCTGTAACCACCTTCTACAATCCACTGAATGCTCCAGGAGCCTTCATGCTGTTACCCACACACAGAAGGTACAGAACCAGTTGTACTTTCATAAAGTGCTGTAATTTTGCCCACCACAGTTTAGTAAACTTTTTCTTTTTTTTTTTTTTAGGAAAATTCCATGTGGTTTTAAGAGTCATGATTTCCATTATCTCATTTTAAACAAGTGGGATTGAGTATTTGTTGCGACTCTTTGAAACACCAGGGTCACAGTCTGCTTGCACATAAAGCAGCTGAAGAGAGCTTTAAGGATACATCTCCCCATAAGAATTTATTTTCGCCTTGTTCAGCATAATGGCAATATAGGTCATCTTTTTTTCTGTATGAAGTATAGTACTTAACATTTCAGTGACGACTTCACCCTTTTCCTCTTTTTCCTGGAATTCAGGAAACTTAATGTATGACTGACTTTCTCCATTCCTTTTGAAGAACCTCATCTGTTTTGTGGGGATATACAAAAGCCTAACCCATCCAGAATTTGTCACAAGCATTTTTTGTTTTCCCCAATAAAGAGAAGGAATGCGAGCAATGTAAAAGCTTTTTTCTGGCCACTTTGTTACAAGTAATTTGCACGTGAAATATCTAGTTAGAGATAATCTGCTACCATTGGTTTCTGAATAGTGGAATCACTGCAGAAAAAATAAGTCAAACCAGGGCAAACAGAGAGAAAAGCTATGTTTTCCAGAGCTATAGATGTAGCAAAGTATAAATTACGGCTGATGAAGTACCTCAAAACCCCAAACAGGCAATTGTCATTTGATTGTAATCACTGGCTGTGGGGTACATTTTGAGCAATATCCAATCTCCCTTGCCTTTCCAACATGTAGTTTAAATGCAGTACAGATGCCTGAAGGTGGGAGCCTAATATACCTCTGCAACCAAGGCTAAGAATTGGACATCTCCAGAGAGCAGCGCAGAATGCACAGATTTATGGCCTTACATCAGTTGCTGCGTGTCTATCCACACTAATGCTTTTCAATCAGCCATGTTAGCATGGTTAACCTTAAAATATATGCTTTTCTTTTTATTCTTGAAGCAGAAAAAATAGTATCGGATTTCAGGATTTTAAGAAAAATGCATTTTTTAAAAATCTACAGTATTCAGATAGTATGAATTATTTTGCTGGCTTTACACATGCGATGTATTTTTTGTCAAGGTCTAGGATGTGGCAAGGTAGAAAAATCCTACTCCTTAGCTATTGATTGTACTGGAAAAGTGACTTCCCTGGTTCCTTCCGAAGTGAACTCCAAAAAGACCTAGATGGCAAAGGGGGGTGACACCCTCCATCCCTTGTGTCTTGACATAAGGGACACCTGGGTGAGGATCTGTAAAATTAAGGGCTCCTTACTTGCCCTCCTTGGTGAGAGGATTCCCACCAGGCAGCAGGAGACTTGAGCAGGTACAGGGGTCATTTTGCTTTGCCTTGGACTTGCAGGGAGAAAAGGGGCCACATCTATTCACTCAGGGACATGGTGCAGGAGGAGAGAGAGTGGATAGGAGAGAAAAGCCTTGTTCTAGTGCAGATACAGTGACCTCCTCCAGATTTTTAGTTCTGTTTTTCTTCACTTCTTCACTTTTTTTTGGGGGGTGAGAGAAGCCAGAGCATGCCCTGTGGATCTTCAGCTTGGTCTTTACTACTTAGAGTCAGCTGATACCCTGGGGAGAGATGATCTGCCTGAAATCCCTCTGAGGCTATCAGGAGTCTGTATTCCTTTAGGACTGAAAGGAGCAAATCTTTAAGAGTCTCTGTAAAGTGTGAAAAATAACACTCAGCTATGCAACTCTATGTCCTTCCTGATAGTAGCAGGACCTCCTGCTCACAGAGACACTATGGCAGTTAATTTTCAGCCACTGTATGCAGAGTGGGAAGAGACAATGTGCTGAAAAACCTTGATTCTCCACCAGAGACCACATACAACCCCCCCCCGCTTTTACTTCCAGATAACTAATAGGTGGTAATTAATAGGATCAGTCTGTAAAATCCCCTTTGGGGCTTGATCAGAAAATGATTCAATACCATGTGTTCTACTGGGTGTATGTGGCATGCGGATATTCAACACATTGGTTGCAATTGCCTGGAAACAAACAATGTTTTTTCCCTTTTTTTTTTTCCTTTTCCCTGAGAGGAGAAAGAAGTGTCTATTGACTAAATCCTCCATTATAATTTTAACGTTTAATCCCCAAGGTCTGAGCAATTACTTTCCCTTTTCCTTTGATATCTGATGCCCTCCAGCTGAGTTGCAGATTAGCAGACATAGGTGCTAAATTCAGTAGAATTACTGTGTGTAAGTACTAATTAAACTAGTTATAACAGGCACTGTCTGCACTGAATTTACAAGCTTTCCAAGAAGCTGCACTGGGTGCAGAGGCCTTCTGATTGTAATCCCCAGTTCAGCTACATGGGATGGAGCGGCACCTTCCCTGTGTTATCTACTCTGTGAGGTTCAGTGCCAACCTGTAGAGGACCAGCGCATTCCTAGCCTGGAAAGAGAGCCACACTCAGCTGTCCTAAGGGTGTGATATCACGGCGCTTGGGTTTTGTGCTATCTGGATGTAAGTCCAGAAAACCATGCTCCGGACCCAGACCACCTCATTTCTTTGGGGCTCACATTTGAAAGCATAGTTCTGCACTGCTTCAGAAATAGCAGCATGGTGTAACCCAGCAGCCAATGTGCTCAGTATGCAAACTAAAAAGATAATTTCTCTAACTGTTATTGCTGCAGACGCAGTTTAGGGTCACTGCATCCAACTGAGGTCTTTATTGGGTTTTTTTTTTACTTCTCACAAAAGATGGTAAAAATGAAAATTTCTACTCTCATTTGTATAAGAGCAATGACATTCCTTTCACATTATATCTTTTAGTGACACCATGGAAACCTCTGGATTCTAAAAAGATTTGAACATAATTCACTGGGAATTACAGAACAATTCTGCTGGTGTACCAGGGGAGAGAACTCAACTTGATCTTCTTGAAAGCAAAAGTAACAATCTTAAAACAAATTAACTTCAACAAACAAAATCCTTAGTTTCGAGTTGTATGTAGTCACTTGAAGTGAAATTCATGTCTGGTAATGATCTACTACAGAATGTACCAATTAAGTCCTGGTTGAGTCCTCAAAATAGCTCTTCAAGATGCATATGTTTTGTGCTGATCCTCTCTATGGGAGAGAATTGCACTCCAAATTCTATTTGTTTGGTGAAACTAAGAAAAAGCTAGCAAGGCTTCCCATGGGTCCTAAGCTTACACTTTCACAGCTCACTCAAGCTGTTGGCATATTGTTGAATAATTAAGGAATGGGTATAAACGTATTTTTGAGGTTTAGTTTGAATGCATTATCAAGATTTTAATGTACTGTGTAGCTGTATGCAGCTGTGTATTGTAATTGTATGGCTGTGTTAAACTTCCTGATTCATCAGGTGCCTTTGCAACATGCAGAGAAAACCAGCACATCCCTTTCGATCCTTTAAGACAACTTACACTATGCTGTCAGCAAGAGCAGAAATCATAGAATAGTTTGGGTTGGAAAGGACCTTAAAATCATCTAATTCCACCCCACCCCTGCCATGGGCAGGGACACCTTCCACTAAACCATGCCACCTAAGGCTCT